GCGCCGCCGTCTCGGCGCAGCTCGCGCCGGGCCACGCTCCGGGTTGGGGCATGGTGCCCCGACTCATGCGGGCGTGTGCCCGCAGCAGAAGCCCCGCTGGCGGCGGCTTCCGAGGCGCACCCGCCGCTTCCGCGCGCGTCACCACCGCCCGCCCCCCGACCCTTGACCCGCGGCGAGGGGGTGTGGCTCGAGGCGGGAGCCCGGCGCCCCGCCCTTGCCAGGCGCACGCGCAGATGGAGCCCCGAAGCCTGCAGCCGTCCGGGCGCGTCCTCCGGCAGTTGCAGGCCGGGAGAACCGAAAAAGCGCTGCGGGAGCTCTCTCTCTAACGGATGCTCGCCGCGTTGGAGTACTGAGCGCCGTCGCGTTCGGGCGTGCTGCGTGGTCGCGGACTCGCGAGTGACGCTGCGGCTCTCCGTGGCGCTCCACGAGTGCACGTCAAGTCCGGCTCTCCCCGGCGGGGCGGGAGGACCAGCTGGCCCCGCTGCACGCTGTGGAGCAAGCGCGGGCGGCGGCGGGGGTGCCTGGGTCGCACTTTTTCATGTGGACATTTTCGTTTAAGTGAGGTAAGAGCGAAGGACAGACAGCAAGACCTGGAAGATCGGAAGGTGAAATGTTTCATTCCTCGGCTGGAGCAGCCTCTAGGGAAGAGCACCCTCGAGGACTTTAGGAGCCCACGGAGAGGAACGGGAAGTCCTGGAAGACGGAACTGGAAGGCTGCTGGAGATGAGGATGAGATCGTGCAAAGCCTTGTTAGGTTAACTAAGGAACTTGAGCTGGATCTTCATCGAGCGATCTTGAAGTGTGTGTTCCCCTTACACACCCAAACGCGGGCGCGTACCCCGTACTGGGACTGGAGATTGAACCCAGGGGTGCGCTACCAGTGAGCTGTCCCCACGCTTTTTTCTTTCTGTTTTCAATTTTGAGACAGGTTTTGCTAAATTGCCCTGGTGGGACTCGAACTCAGATCCCCCCCACACCTTCCCAGTGATTCCAAGCGTGCACTGCCACCCGCAGAAGAGATCATTTGGAAAGAGCGCTTTGTCTGCAGTTAAAGATTAGAAAAGGGCAAGACTGGGAGAGCGGTTGATGGAGGTGTGGGCATCACAGGGTGAAACTGGGAAGAATGTTTACATTTTGAGGCTCAGAACCCTGGGGTTTTGTCCTTTTAATTTTACTTGAAAAGTGATAAATGCCCATGTCAAAATACCCAGCGCATCCAAGAATATGCTGGGTGCGTTTCTTAGGTGGGACTACTGCACTGGGTTGAATCGCGCCCCCATTCATGTTCATCGGGAGCCTTACAGTGAGACCTTAAAATGGCCTTTGCAGATGTAATTACTTAAGAGGAGTTTTAAAGACCCCATGTCTAAAACCTGTTGTCTTGTGCAACATGTCCTGCATGACAGAGGGTCACACAGACAATAAGGCCACCTGGAGAAGGAGAGATTGCAATGACACAGCTCTATGCTGAGGAACAACAAAGCAATGAAGGATTATCCCAAAGAACCTTCAGAATGATCTCATTTCCATCCTCTCCAGAACTCAGATTAAATTCCTGTTGCAACCCCAAGAAAGTAAAATAGGGCTCAAGATGAGAAGATATAAAATTCCATCCAGCGGAGTTTGTTTAGGTGGCCAGCCAAGCAGAGTCACGACTCGGCGTTTTATTTCAGGATTAGAAAAGGCTTTGACAGTGTATTTGGGTGTTGAGTGTGTATCTTCATGTTATCCACACCACACTGGGAAAATAGCCATGAGATAGGATTGGGGACCCATTGAGCCCTGTGTGGGGAGCAGCTGCGTAAAAACTCCTAGCTCAGTTGGCCCCCATCCACACTAAATAAAGCAGGAGCCAGAACTGCCTCAATGTGCTGGAGCAAAGGATCCAAGGTATAGGGAAGTTGGGATGTTAGAGTAGACTTATGTAGGGCCGCCTTGCCACCTGAGGACAGTCCAGAGTACACACCTTTCACTGTGTCTGTGAAAAGTAAATCTGCAAGGGAAGCCCCAACATTTCTGAAGAGATTGAAGGTTGCTTGTGAAGTGATACACATTTAACAGTGACATCAAATTGGGCTTCCTAAATATAGTGAGAGTAGTGGGATTCCAGAGTGACAAAAACCAAAGGCACTACGTTGACAAAAGGTAAGTGGACATGGCTACTCCAGTGGCCGCAGAGCCAAAGCAGTGTTGTCTTACAAAGACCCATTATGATGTGTCAAGGTCACGTTCTTGGAGGAATTGTAAAACTAGTGACACTGTCAAAGACTTGAGAGCTGGGGAGATAGCTTAGCACGCTAAGTGCCTGCCTGCAAGCGCAAGGGCTTGGGTTCGATCCCCAGTACCACATGCCCTGCTGGCTCCTGATCCCTGGGTATGCCATGCTGGCCCAAAACGGCATGGTGGTGCACACCTGTAATCCTAGTGCTGGGGAGGCTGAGACAGAAGGATCACTACGAGTCTGAGCTGCAGGGCAAGACCCTGTATCAAATAAATAAAACATTTTTAAAAATTAAAAAAAAAAAAGACTTGAAAGTTGCAGAGTTCAACATCCCTTTCCAGCTTACCAAGTATGTAAGGAGCACAGATGGCTCCAGGAGGACAACACCAGAGCCTCAAACTGAGTCATATGGTGACTCCAGTTTTACTGCTGCTTTTTTTTTTTTTTTAAGTTTAGGGTAGAGTCTACAGAGTCTCACTGCATAGACCAGACTCTTAGTGATCCTCCTGTTTACAGCCTCTCAAGTGCTGGCATTACAGGTGCGCACCACCACACCCAGTCTCAGTTGCCCTCTCAGCTTGCCCCAGGGGCAGGGCCGGCACAGCAGGCCCGGGGACCAGCAGGTGATCGAACTTCTGGCCCCTACATCTGCCTAAGCAGGCGCTTTAATCCACTGAGCTATTTGGCCAACCCATAGTTGAGAAGGATTTTTTTATTTTTTTAATTATTTTTCTTTTTTTGGCTGGCTCAGGGGTCTGGTAAGGCATGGGGAGCTGAGGATTGAACCAGGGTCCCCTGCACCTGACTGGGTTTGCCCCTTCAGGTGCTTAAACAACTAAGCTAAACAGCAAACCTCACTGCTGTTTTTGAAAAGACATTTCATTACATCTGATATGAGGCAATCAGTTGTCTATCTCTATTGACATTTGCATTCAACTAGCAAGACCTGCAATGTACCTTCTTCCTGCCCTGCCACAGATAAATCAGTTCAACCCTGTGTCATAATTAGTCCCTGACAGCTTTTGCCTCCTCCTTCTAAAGTTCCTCATGTTTTGTTTTTGTTTTTGTTTTTGTTTTTGTTTTTGTTTTGGCAGAACCAGGGATTGAACTCAGGCCCTTGTGTTTGCCAGGAAAGCGCTTATTCTACTGAGCCATCTCCCCGGCCCCAAGTGCCTCATGTTGAAGATGCACTGATTAGTCCTGGTGGGCAGGAAGCAGCAAACACTATGGACTTACTGGTAATATATTTGCATGTCGGAGTATAGGCAGTAAATCCCTCAAAACTTCGCAAGCCCTCTATCTCTGGGGAAATTTCTAGGTCCCACGTGGGACATAACCACCATAGCACTTCTAAGTGAAGGCACAGTTGCTTCATCTGGGCCCTCCTACAACTGTAACAAAAAAGGAAGCCCAGAGCCTCTCACAGGTCTAGCCCGGTATGCAAGTGGCTGGGTCCTGTGATCCCACAGATGCGGTGGTTGTGGAAATGGCAGGTTAGATGCTGTGTAGTCTTCGGCAGGCATTAGTAGATGTGTCACAGTACAAACCCTTCAGACTGGAGCAGAGCCCTGTTGTGGGCTTGAGTCATATGGTGACTCTGGAAAACTTGCTTTTGGAAGAGTCCTCTGTGGAAAACTTGCTTTTGGCTTACAACTGGACCTTGGTAGAGACTGCATCCTTCACCATGGGAACCAAGTTACTGCATGGCCTGATCATGTGATAAAGCATGAGAAAACAAACCATCATATGATTCCATTAGAGGAGCAGCCTACAAGACACCTGACCAAACTCTTCAAAAGTGCCAAAGTCATGAAAACAAGGCTGAGAAACTGTTTTAGCCAAGAATCAAAGAAACATGACAAATATGTTGGTATCCTGAGAAGTAACACTGGGTCAGAAAAAGACTTTAGGTTAAGCAAAGAGAATCTCAGTAAACCACGGGCCTTAGTCACAATATGTATGAATCCGTTTCTTTAACGTGTGTCATACTAATGTAAGATACGAATAATAGAGAAGATGGAATCCAAGACACATGCGAACTCTATTATAATCTCATTTTTTTAAATCTAAGCTTCTGGAAAAAATAGTCTATACATTAAGAAAATCAAACTCAGATTACTGTCATAGCTAACCTAGACTTTCCAAAATAAACAAAGTCTAGTCATACTCTTTTTTTTTTTTTTTTTTAGACAAGTCTTGCTATACAGTTCATGCTGAACTAAACTTCACTGTGTGGCCCAGGCTGGCCTCAAATTCATGGCAGTTCTCCTGCCTCAACCTCTCATGTGCTGGGATCATATGTGTGTGCCACCATGCCTGGCTCCATGTTCTTATTGTATACTTCAGTTGTATGTTACTTACTTCATCTTTGTCTCATCTTTTAAAATGTCTACATATGTATGGATTTCTGTGTATGCTTTACAGTATACATAATACCTACATGCTAGCTTTATTGTGTATTTTTAACATGCTCACTAGCGATATGCTAAATTTTGCTAAGATTAGAGCACTAAATCATACGCTATTCCAATGGATTAGACTAAATAAGAAAAGAACTAAGTTTTGATTCAGGGAGCTGAGGAAAGAGAATCACAAGTTCCAGGCCAGCCCAGACAACTAGCAAGACCTGTCTCAACATTTAAAAAATAATTTTTTTTTAAAGGGAACTAGAGCTATATACCTCAGTGGGCAAGCACTCCTGGGGTTAATCTCCACTAATGAAGAAACAAACACTCACACACTAAGTTATAATGCCTCACCCATCCATATGTTCAGATGAGTATTAAAAAGTTGTGAGCTTCAGTAGAAGCATAGATAATAAGACAATTCCAATCAGTTTCTAGTTTTCTCATATCAAACATTCGGTACCTAAAAGTAATATGATGGCATTGTAATTGATA